TGTAATTTATTGCAATCCCCTTATTATAAACGGAAGTCTGGTAGCCTAGTGGCCAGAAGCATTGCTGCAATCCCATGTGGTTCGAGGTAACCAGCTGCTCCACAGGAGGATGGGCAATCTCCTCCAGTATGATTATCGATTGATTAACTGCCTCTGAAAACTGGCTGGAGGGTCTGCTAAGGGTCAGTTCCTACTCAACGGCACATCATCACCACCATCACCACCACCACCACCACCACCACCACCACCACCACAACCATAACATTGTAGTCAAGTCAGAATCAACTTATAGCTAAACCACTGGTAGGTTTTCAGAGGCTGTAAATCACTAAGGAGGAGACTGAACATCTTTTATTCTCAGAGTAGATGGCGAATTTGAACTGCCTGTCTGGACTGGCAACACAACCCTCTTCTGACTAGGTCACTACAACCCTGACTTGTTTTGTGGAGAGAGATACTGTGGCTTTCTGGAAGGAAGATGACTTCATTTACTTTGAGAGTAGAGGCCTAGGACACACATGTTGAGAGGCTCACACTAAGAAGATCAGCAGTTGCTTGATGAAAAGAGCATTTAAATTACAGATACCTTCTTCAAATCCTGAAAATTAGCAAACTATTACACTTTCTGTGAATCCCATATTTCTTATCAGTCACAAAAATAAAAACTGAGAAATGTACAACATACCAAAACGTCCATCCCGGGAACATATTTGAGAGATATCTTGTAGTCTTTTGGAAGATTTGCCACCTAGAGAGATCAAAACAAGAATTCTGTAAGAAAATTCATGCACATGAATACATGACAGTACTATTCTGTTTGTTTTGCTTTGCTGTGTTTTTAGAAGCCTGAAGGAAAAAACAAAAACACACAAACAATATCAGTGACTGTATCACTGGGAAACTTGTCAGAAATAAATTCTTGGGTCACACCACACCTATTGCATCTTATTTCATAATCTCTTGATGCTCAAGTTTGGGGACTACTGTTCTAAGTTGATCATAAAAAAGGATCAGAGAAGGAAGGGAAAAAAATGTTATTTAAGAGATACAAATGCTTTATGTCTTAAAAGACAGTTTCCTGATATAACTCAATGCATTTACCTAAGCCTCCGTGACCTTTCGAACATTTGAGACGCTGCAAATGTTGGCCTGGCTTATATTATTTTAAATCTAGTATTATTTCCATTCACTGAGGCAGAGGTAAACAAGGGCCAGATTTAGAACCAGAAAATTTGAATGAAATATTACCTTTGTACCTTGGTTTCTCGCATCTGTAAAATGGAGACAAAAGTACTCGTCAAGTGGCAGACATAGTGAGGATAAGGAAATTGTCCGTTTGTTGTTCAGAGAGTCGCTATGAGTCCTACTCGACACAACAGTACATACACCAAGTGGTCATTTCAGTAATATAGAAAAGACAATCCTATTAGCAATCTGCCTTTGATGTGTATATGAGAGTCTAGTTTCACTTAACCTGCTTTTTACATTTACAATCAGAACCTTCACTCTTATTATTCTCTTGGATCACTGTTAAAACTACCTGAATAATACAGGCAACAATTAGCTTATTGAGTCTTTTTAATTTTCTTCTTTTTCTTTTTTTATTGAGGTTTTAATTAAAGTTTATAAAGAACTTGGGTTTCCAATCATTCATTGTTGCACATTTTCCTGCCAGCCCCCCATGCTCTCCAGATCGCTTTTTCCTTTGGGGAAAAAAGTTCTTCCATTGTTATACAGACACCCACCCTCACCCCAGACCACTTTACTGTGCAACACTTATTCTGGACTCTTGTCATGTCAATAATACCTAATCCTATATTCCTTTTATATAGTTTTTTTCACTCATCTGTTTCAATGGCAAGTAGATTTTTTAACCCCTCTTTTTCTTAGTTTCCCCCAGCCCCTGTGTCAGTCCTGTTTTATCATGGTGGCATTATACCATATTAGTCTTTTTGTGACTGAAAGATTCACTCAACATAATATCCTCCAGGGTCACCCATTTTTGTATAATAATTCATGAGTTCCTTGTTTTTCAATGTAGCATAATATTCCATTGTATGAATGTACCACAGTTTCTCTATCCATTTGTTTTTGATGGGTACTTAGATTGTTTCCAACTTTTTGCTACTGTGAACAAAGCTGCAATAAGCATGAGCATGCATAGCTTATTGGGTCTTAAAAGAATGTTACTGTTGTTGTTAGGTACCCTACAGTTTGTTTAAACTCACAACAAACCTATTATAGACAACAGAAGAAAACACAGTTCAAATTCTGCATCATCCTCACAATCTCAGCTGTGTTCAAGTCCATTGTTGCAGCCACTGTGTCAATTTCATCGAAGGTCTAGCTTTCCTTCACTTCACCAAACATGATGTCTTCCTCTAGGAACTGATCCTCTAGGTAACATACCCAAAATAGATGAAATGAAATCACACCATCTTTGTTTCTAAGGAGCATTTTGGCAGTACTTTCTTCAAAACAGATGTATTTGTTCTTTTGAATATTCATTGTTGTTGTTGTTATGTGCCATCGAGTTGCTTGCAACTCATAATGACAGCCCTAAACAACAGCCCTAAACTCTGCTCTGTCCTGTGCCAATCGCACTGCCTCTGTCACACCCATCCCAATTACCCCAGTCACTGAATTAATCCATCTCATAGAGGACCTTCCCCTCTTGTGCCGTCCCTCCATCCTCCCAAGCATAATGTCCCTCTCCAAGGACCGGTTCCTCCTTACAACATGTCCAAAGTATGTCAGACAAAGCCTCAGAATCCTTGCCTCCAAGGAGCAGCCCGGTTTAACCCTCTCTAGGATGAATCTGTCTGTTTTCTTTGCAGTCTATGGTATCCTCAATACTCTTCTCCAGCATCACAGCTCAAAGGCATCAATTCTCCTTCTATCCACCCTATATAATATTCTATGAATATATGAATATTCATTGAATATTAAATATATACTTTTTTATTGTCAACACCACAATTCAAAGGCATCAATATTCTTTGCCCTTTTTATTCTTTGTCCAATATTCACATGCATATAAAACAACTGAAAAATTATGGCTTGGGTCAAGAACACGGTAAGTCCTAAAAGTGTTATCTTTGCTCACTGGCAATTTCAAGAGGTTTCCCATGGCAGATTTCCCGCTGGACTCTGCCATGTGATTCTTTTTTCTTTATTTTAAAAGCAAAGCATAAATATGTATATATTGCTAGCATCTTAATACCTATGAGCATTCTTGAGTGTAGCCCCTATCACCTAGACAGATCTGTTTGGCTTGCCTATTTGCTCACGTATTACTTTGTAGAATAATTATGTTAGTCATAATACAGCATTAGGTATGTGAGAACATTCATTTTTGATGTCTGAAACACTTGTGTACTTCTTTTTGGCTTCTCTTTCTCAACTCATAGTGTGTTGATCACACCCTTACCAAACACTGCTTTTCCCTTACTAAGGAATGTGTGTGTGTCTATTACATGGTTTCTGATTTTTTTGTACCTCCTCCCATCTTATCTCCTGTAACCATGAAAGAATGTTTCTTTCCATATATAAACTTTTCACTAGCTTTTTGGTACAGATGGCTACTACTGTACACCAGACCCTTCACCACTCTGGTGGTGGACTGTGTCAGGAGTTTCTCTGCTAATCCAAGAACAGCACCTCTCTGGAATTTCAAGTTCACCAACAACTCTGAAGGAGAAATAAAGAGCAATCTCCTCCCATTCTTTTTTACAAAAGCCTCTCAAAAACCTACTGGAGGGTCAGCTATAAGCTGGTGCCAACTCTATGGTAATGAGTCTGAGCTAAATTTTAGAGTAAACTCATACAATACTTCTCTTTTTGTAATGAATTTCACTCAAAAGAATGTCCTATCATTTCATTTTTGTAGCCCATTTTGATTTAAAAGATTCACCTTGATTGTTGTTGTTGTTGTTAGGTGCCATCAAGTTGAGTATGACTCATAACGATCTTATGAACAGATTTGAACCCTGTCCTAACCTGTGCCATTCTCACACTTCCTGATACACTAGAGCCCACTGTGGCAGTCACCGTGTCAGTCCCCCTGGTTGAGAATCTCCCTCTCCTTCCTCAACTCTCTACCTTTCTGAGCATCACATCCCTCTCCAAGGAACAGCCCTCTTATCAACATGGCCAAAGTATGTGAGATGAAGCTTTATCATCTTTCTCTGCATCTTCTCCAAGATGTGTTTGTTCTTTGGCCATCTATGGGATGTTCAGCACTCTTCTCCGACACCACAGCTCAAACACATCAATTCAGCTCTCAGAGGCACAGCAAGGGTTTAGAAAGACCATGGTCTTAATGAGATTCACTTTAGTCCTCAAACTGACATCAATACTCCTCAAAAATATAGAGAGATCCCTAACTGCAAACTTTTCCAGTATAATTCCTGATATCCTGGCTGTTGGTACCAAGGGTGTTAACTGTGGATCCATGTGAGATGAAATTATTGACAGCTACAAGCTTTTCTACATTTATCACGATGTTGCTTATGGGTCGGTCCAGGGGTAAGAATCTTTGATTAGACACCTTGATTAGACACACTTATTTTTATAGAAAAAAAATTTGGCTAGCATATAGATTTTTTGTTGTTGTTAACTGTACATTTTAAAAAAATTTCATCTATCAATTTTTACTTTCTCTCTTTCCATTCCTGTTAGCAATCCAAAGTTTCATTGCATTTGAGAACTAGAGAGTAAATAATCATGACAGAAGAAGAATCAATGCCTTTGAGCTTTGATGTTGGAGAAGAAGACTGACCATCCCATGGATGACCAAAATATAAACAAGTATGTGCTGGAGATGGTGCATCTGGAGTGTTCTTTTGGAGGCAAGAATGATGAGGCTTTGCCTCACATACTCTGGACATATTATTAGGAGGGGCTATTTCTTGGCAAAAGATGCAATCCTAGGAATGGTGGAGGGTTTGTGAAGGAGAGGAAGACCCTCAACCAGGAAGACTGACATGGTGACTGATGCAATGAGCTCTTGTGTATCAGGAAGTGTGAGGATGGCACAGGATAGAACAGGGTTTAGATCTTTTGTTCATTGTGTCTCTATGAGTCATACTCAACTTGATGGCACCTAACAACAACATTAGTGGAGGCAGACTGTGAACTTTGGCTCTGTGCTTTGCTTAGCATCGCTATCAATAGGGCAATCTTCCCTTTATTACGCTCCTGGCTTTCACTGGTTCCTTTCCAATTATATTTGGAAGAGAACATAAGAAGTCATGCTGTGCATTTTTATGGTCACTTTATTAACTACTGTCTTACTCTCTAAGAGTTTAAAATGCAGAGTATCAATTATGAATTGATCTGATTTGATGACAAAGAGAATGAGAAAGTGTGTGTGTTTTCTATGAGTTTATATTATGATGAACAGTATTCAAAAAGCACTAATAAGAAACATTGTGATAAACTCAACTCCTCTGATACATGCTGATCACTGAAGAAAAGTCTTACAAAGTCAAAGGAACCTTTGCTCAAAAAGCTGGAAGATGGTCCCCAAAGCCAGTTAGTTCAACAGTGGGACCAGCAATAGACATTCTGGAAACATCCTGCTCCTATGAAACTTGCCAACTCAGATGTGCCAGGAAAATTGCATAATCTATTTGAGCTTCTATTTGCATGTGGATAGAATAAGAATCATCAGTTAATCCAGTAAATGGATTTTTAAGGATGCAGTTCAATTTTAACTCCTGTAAGATACTTAGTGCTTAGCATGGC